GGGGAAAATTCACACAGAAAAGCTTATTTTAAAAGTCTATTGTTACATTTGCAAAGATGCTGGAAATTAGGCAAAGCCAGGATAAATTTTGCTTCTGCAAACTTCATTCATCCCCGTGTGCACGTGTGTTATGACCATGCAGTGAAACACCAACATATGTGACTATATTTTTCTTGAATACAATGTTTTTTCCATAGGTAGTCACAGCACATGCAGTTCGCGTGCCTGTAACGGGTAACCTGAGTGCCAACATTACTGGGTTTTTACCCATTCACTGCATCTATCAGCTTCTGCGGAGCCGGTCATTCACCAAGCACAAAGTGTCTATAAAGGTATGGCTTTCCTTGCATTCAGGTTTCAGAACGCATCTTAGTGATCAGCCGTGGGTTTCATTGGTTGTTTCTGACGTTAAGCAGACTCTTGCTGTCCATTTCCTGGACAATGTTGCCTAAAAAGTGGTGGTATTAAAAGGATTTCATGCTGAGCACCTAGTACTACAGGACTGGGGACTAAACAGTGTGTAGTGAGTTAGTAAACTAGGGCTGTTCTTTCTGTAAGACAGAGTCTAGAAGCTAGTTAAGTCACAAGTGATGAGAAGTTTATTCAAGTCCTTACCTGAGCACTGTTTAAAGTCCAAGTCACAAAAATAAAAGCATTGCTGGCCAGCACCAGTGTGTATTAAAGTGCTGCAGAGTGGAAGCTCTTCCAGTGCTTGAGCTATGAAGTCTAGCCCAGTTCAGAACTGGTTTTGGTCTTCCTTTTTTCTAAGTGTTTGACCCATGCTGAGAGTAACTGTAGAACAAACTGTTCAAAATAGGACTTTGCCAGTGGACCGAACAGGAAAAACAGCAGGCTTGGCTTCTGATTTTGTTGTTGATCCTTTTCACTGAGTATAACATGTTTGTTCTAGGACTGGATTTATAGACAACTGTGTGAAACCACCACCCCACTCCATCCTCAGCTGCTTCCTCTTATTGATGTCTACATCAACTCTGTTCTTACTCCTGCATCCAAGTCCAACCCTGAGGCGACCAACCAGCCTGTCACAGAGCAGGAGATCTTGAATGTTTTTCAAGGGCTCGCTGGGGTAAATTATTGTTTTTGTTTGTGACTTGCAGGCACCTCCTCAGGTCTTGCAACACTGAAATATTTTTCTATTGTACATTCTGACAGTTGCAGTGTTTAATACCTGGACCATAAACTGCATCCCTTGGGCCATGATCAGGCCTGTCAGTGCCAGTCAGGCTGCTGGCACAGCTGCAGCAAGGCATTCTTGCCAGCTGCTCCAGAAGTGCAGTGCTTGCTGCCTGTGCCGCAGCCCCAGCACTTGCCATTTGTATAAATATAGTCTCCAAGTTAATGGCTCTTCTTTCCAGCAGCAATCTGAAGTAAAAAGTGTTTGTTTGGGTTTTTTTGCCTAGACTCACAGCCAAGCTAGAAACCAGGCTTTAGGTAGAAAAGCCCCATGTGACCTTGCAGAGAGGCCATTTTTCACGTGTGAAGGTGGGAAATTGACCCATTACTAAGGGGCTGTTGCACTCTTCCTAGTGAAAATCACTGTGCTCTCTGGTCCTAGATGGGCTGAGATGCAGGAAACCCTTTCATTGGTCTGAAATATTGTGCCTTTTTTTTTTAAATAGAAATTTAAACTTGAACTTGGGGCCAGATGTGACTCGTAATCATCCCTCGCAGTGAGAGATGCCTCCATGTTTTCCGCTAATTCCAAATCCTGCCTTTAAAAAAATCAGGGAAACGTTACAGCATGACTCCTTGTTATGGTTTTCTGTGCAGGGAGAAAATGCCCGGGTTAATCAGCATTACAGCATCACGGCCCAGCTGCTTGTCCTCTACTATGTCCTTTCTTACGAAGAGGCACTCCTGGCTAACACCAAGACACTTGGTATGTGTGCGTGAGCATTGCCCGCAAGCAACAAGATCTTAAAAGGTTTGAACAGATGTCAGGATCTGATCCTAAAATGGTAACTGCATTGAGTGACACAAATTTCATTTGCCACAGTAATGCATTCAGCCAGCTGAAACTTGGGTCAGCTTAATGATGTTGGCAATGCTAATGTAGCATTATGCAGAAGGATCCTTTAGCGCTTGCGTTGAAAAGCTGTTCAGGTGCTTTGTTTTTAGGTCAGCCACTTTGTGTCAAAACATGCTGAAACTTGACTTAAAAGTTACTGGAGATTTTTTTTTCTTGCAACAATCAGTACAAGTTAATCACAAAAATAGCCAGGCACTGTTAGTGGCCTTGGCTGTCCTTTTTCACATCCCGATGTGTCTGCAGTGTAGGCGTGTCTTTTCTGGTGTTGTGGGTATTTTTTGATAAACATGGATACAGTAGAATGACTTATTTTCACTTTTGAAATACCACCTTTAAATCAGCATAAGCATTCTTTAGTTCATTAAGCCTATTTGAGTCCAGTGTGAAGTGAGATGTAGATTTCCAGCTGCTACTTTACCCTGAAAAAAATCTAGCCTTCATCAACATTCATGTTAGCAGTGTATTACTATGCTGTATGCTATTATGCCAGAGAAGAGTGGGGTGTTGAAAAGGGTCCGAGTTCTTCCTACGCTGTCACTTGCATCCAGTGCACGATGTAGTGCATGCTGCTAGTAGTGCTTTGTCACATTGTTCTTTGAATTATGAAGCTGTAGCTCAGGGTTGTGATCTTTTAAAAAGATGGACTCGGACCTGGAATAGGAACTAATTGATGAAAATGCAGATGCTGCAGGGAGAAGTATTAAGTGTTAAGCTTCATGGAGCAGAGTCCCTGAGAGAGCTAAAGATGCCATAATGATTTCCACAAAAACGAGGGTGTTGTTTTGTGTGTCCTGGTCAGATTTTATCTTGAGCTATTTAGAAGCTGTTTCTTTAATACCTCCTAGAAGTGTCGGGGGGACATACATTTTACTCACTGTACCTTGGTGTGTAATGTTCCTGGCGTAGAATGGCTGCTTCATTCCACTGCAGGAATGATTGTTTCATACTCGAGTCAGGTGAGCCCTGTGTGTGTACAGTTTGTACAGTGCTTTGGGGTCACGCAGCTTGGGGAAGAAGGTAATGTAATGGGAATGCTAATTGGGTGATTGTGGTCTCTTAATTATTACTGGTAAAAAATGAATACTCAGCAGTGATTTGAGGTTCAGGTCTCAGTCTGGAAAGGGGGAGTTGGGTTAACTCCATCCCAAAATCATCCACTTGGGTCTGAGTATTGCTGTTTCAACAGTGCGCTTTATCCAGAGCCCTCAGAACAGAGGGCCCGTCTCCTGTCTGCAGGTGTTGTCCTAAGAGCAGTTTGCGAATAGATTGGCAGCCTCAGCTCCCTGTTTCCTTGTGACTTCGAGTTTAATGCATAAAGTAGTCAAGTTGGGAAGAGATTCTTGATTAGTCTAGTTAATTCTTCCCTTACAGCTGCCATGCAAAGAAAGCCCAAGTCTTACTCTTCAGCACTGATGGATCAGATTCCAATCAAGTACCTTATCCGGCAAGCACAAGGACTGCAACAGGAATTGGGAGGTATATATGTGCGTTTGCAATACCTATGATGAAGAAAATTGTGTATTCTCTGCTTTTTGGGTCTTGCAGTGATTGGGCACAAATTAAAGAAAGGAACTTTCTCCTGTTCCATGATGTGATCTTTCCCTTTTTTTCCTATCTCCAACACTGCCAGCAGCCAAGAATGAGCTTACAAATACATTTAAAGAAAGCTGTCTAAAAGCCACCATGGCACACTCTGGTGGCTGAAAGCTAAAGACAGGTTCTAACAGGCAGCCTTACAGCTGTTTTGAAGCACCTAGGGTTTTTTGTTTTTTTTTAACTTGCTGTGTATCCCTTGTCCTACCACCTGAACCCTGGGGCTGATGTCTTTGGAAAGGAGGAAGGCTCTGTCCTAGCTTTTTCTTTCCTCTGTTTATATATTTGAGTTCTAATCTCAGGCTATAAATGTGCAAGCTTGTCTGATACTGAAAGGGTCAAATGATACTTGCTTCAGTAAGCGTCTCGATGCTCATTACATGAGGTTTTGCTATTGAGGGGAAGGGGGGAGCCAATTTATTGAGATGCAAAAAGTGTTGAAATTTAGCTTGTAGACTCTGTTCCCTCCCCCATCTCCTAAGGCCTGCACTCTGCACTGCTGCGCCTCCTTGCTACTAACTACCCACACCTGTGCATTGTGGATGACTGGATCTGCGAGGAGCAGATCACAGGCACAGATGCGTTGCTGCGAAGGATGCTTCTTACAAACATGGCCAAGAACCACTCTCCCAAGCAGCTCCAAGATGGTAAATACAATTCCTTCTGAAGCAGGCAGTTCCTGTTTTCCTCCTAACACTTGGCTAAAACGGGTAGCCAACCTGAAGCACACGTGCCACAAATGGGACGGGCAGCTTCCGTGTGGCATGCGGCAGATAGAACAGGAAGCAGAAAACAGAGTAGCAGGTCAGGCAGGAGAGAGGGATTTTGGTTCCATGAGGGGAGGGTGCCAAACTAATTTTTGGCATGCCTATTAAAATGGTTGGCCCCCACTGGGCTAGCATATTTAAATACTGAAAGTCATGTGGGTGGGTGTGTTGGGGGGAAGTCCATGACAGGGCTGGTTTCATGCATCGAACTTGAATTCTCCTTGCTTGCTCCCATCAGGCTGCACTTGGGGGAGGGGTGTGGAAATGTGCAGCATTTAACTTGTCAGCTCAGAGATGTGTAAATGGGATATACTTTAAATGAGAATCCATAAAATGGCAGGCGCCTGTCTCGATGTTCAGAATCCAACTGTTTTCTTTTCTAGCGTTTTCAATGCTTTCAGGAAATCACACCCAACTGATGCAGATTTTAGAACACTTAACACTGCTCTCTGCTGGTGAGCTGATCCCATATGCAGAGGTACTGACGTCAAACATGAACCAGTTGCTGAATGCAGGGGTTCCACGGAGAGTTCTTCAGACAGTCAACAAGCTTTGGATGGTTCTTAACACGGTGATGCCTAGAAGGTAGGCGCAACTTACTGTTTGGTTTAACATGGCAGACGGAGTAAAATGCCACTTTCTGTTTCTAAACCCTTTACCTCCTGCTGCTGTCACTGGTAGCAAGCTGTGGACTGGATCCCAAAAATCACTAGTAGTCTAGTGCTTTAGCACCTTTTGGAGTTAGATCCCTTTTTGTTTTGTTGCTGGAATGAAACATGGACTTGCTTTCAAAGAAAAGGAATGCTTACCATTACAAAAGACTTTCCAATTAACTAGAAAAAGCAATGTCCCCATTTAGTTAGTTATGTGTATTTTACAAGGGGAATTCTTCAATAATCTTTAAATATAAACTCTCTTAAGAATGGTTCTTCAGTAAGTTACCTTTTATGGCTGACTGAATATTTAAGGTCCCTGTCAGGCCAGGCCTTTCTTAGTGTGCTATCTGGTACCATGTAAACCAGTATAGCCTCTTCCATAGTTGGGTTGTCAGCAACTAAACCGGTGCCCACACCTGGTCTAGCTTAGGTGAGGAGGGTGTGTGGACACCCAGCAGGAATGAAAACAAGACCTCTCAAAGGGGTCTTGAATGAGCTTCTTGTGAGCCAGTGACCATCCGTACCTGGAGAGGAGATGGGCCCCACCAGGTCACTTTGCCCAAAGAATCACCAATGGTCTAAGGTGCCCCAGTGGTCGCAGCAGCCTCAGGACTGAC